TCTAAAATACCTTATAAGACCTCCCCTATGAGGGGTCAGATATTCTCCAGTTGAGGCCTAATCAGTGTAGACTAGAGTGGAAAAATGAATTCTCATGTCTTGCTCACAACACTCCTGTTAATGCATCCCAGAATCATGGTTTTTTTGCAACAGCATCATACCGTGGACTCATATTTAGCCCAGAGATCCCATGCGGCATCAAAGGTCTCGGAGGTCGATGGTTGCTGGACCTCTTCTATTATGACATCCAGCACCGCACTCTCCCTCCTCGTCAAGCTCACTTGGTGCCATTGCATGGGAGCATTATGATGCGACTACATGGCCAAGTGCCCTTCTACATGCTGCACTTTGTGGCTACACCTATCAGGCTACCACCACCTGTGCTATCTCTTCTTTCTTAGCACTAGAGACTGAGAACAGTGCCTCGGCATTGAGGGCTTGGCTGGCTCCATGGCCTCCTTCAGTGCCACAGATGTTTCCTGAACCGAGGCCAGTGCGCTTCAAACTGCCATTGTGGAATCCGGTGCCATGAGTTGGAGAGCTAACTCCATTAAAATGGAGCTTCAAATGGGAATCCTGCTCCCGTTTAGTTTTAGGCTCCTGCAAATCTGACAATTGTCTTGGGGAGGAACTTCGTACAGACACTTCAAGCAAGAGTCATGTGGGTCACTGTAGGGCATACGGTTCAAGGACTTAGCACACAGCTTGAATCTGTGTGGCCCCAGGATCCCCTCCCCAGTAGGGGAAAGATAAAAGGGGAAAATTCCCCTCCAACTATCTAAGAAATATTTAATAACTATGAAGAACATAAGAATGGCCGCACTGGGTCAGACCAAAAGTCCATCCAGCTCAGTAGCCTGTCTGCTGACAGTGGCCAGCGCCAGGTGCCCCGGAGGGGGTGGACCAAAAAAAAAGATCAAGCGATTTGTCTCCTGCCATCCTCCTCCAGCTTCTGACAAACAGAGGCCAGGGACATCATTTCTGTCCCCTGGCTAATAGCCTTTTATGGACCTAACCTCCATGAAATTATCTAGCTTCTCTTTAATCGCTGTTATAGTCCTAGCCTTCATAGCCTCCTCTGGCAAGGAGTTCCACAGGTTGACTATGTGCTGTGTGAAGAAGAACTTTCTTTTATTAGTTTTAAACCTGCTACCCATTAACTTCATTTGGTGTCCTCTAGTTCATCTATTATGGGAACTAATAACTTTTCTTTATTCACCCTCTCCACACCACTCATGATTTTATATACCTCTATCATATCCCCCCTCAGTCTCCTCTTTTCTAAACTGAAAAGCCCGAGTCTCTCTAACCTCTCTTCACATGGGACCCGTTCCGAACCCCTAATCATTTTAGTTGCCCTTTTCTGAACCCTTTCTATCTTTTTTGAGGTGAGGAGACCACATCTGTACACAGTAATAGAAATGTAGCCGTGTTAGTCTGGTCTAGCTGAAACAAAAAACAGGACTATGTAGCACTTTAAAGACTAACAAGATGGTTTATTAGGTGATGTGCTTTCGTGGGCCAGACCCACTTCCTCAGATCAAATAGTGGAAGAAAATTGGCATGACTATATGTACCAAAGGATACAATCAAAAAACCAAACACATATGAAAAGGACAAATCAAATTTCAGAACAGAAGGGGGATGAGGGGGGAAGGTAAATGTCTGTTAGCCCCCATCATACTGTATGTATAGTTGGGGTTATTTTTTCCGACGTGCATTACTTTACACTTATCCACATTAAATTTCGTTTGCATGGACTCCCAAACTCTGGACCAATCAGCGAAGGATTTCCTGATGGGACCTCAAGTCCATAGATTGCATGGAAGGGAGAGAGAGCCACCAAGTGCCTCATCAGGTGAGGAGGATGAAGACACCTTCATGCCCATCACCTCCAGATCCCGAGCTTGTGATGGGGCTTGTGAAACCACAGAGGAATCACAGAATTATAGGACTGGAAGGGACCTCGAGAGGTCATCGAGTCCAGCCCCCCGCCCTCAAGGCAGGACCAAGCTCTGTCTACACCATCCCTGACAGATGTCTGTCTAACCTACTCTTAAATATCTCCACAGATGGAGATTCCACAACCTCCCTGGGCAATTTATTCCAGTGTTTGACTACCCTGACAGTTAGGAACTTTTTCCTAACGTCCAACCTAAACCTCCCTTGCTGCAGTTTAAGCCCATTGCTTCTTGTCCTATCCTCAGAGGCCAAGATGAACAAATTTTCTCCCTCCTCCTTATGACACCCTTTTAGATACCTGAAAACAGCTATGATGTCCCCCCTCAATCTTCTTTTTTCTAAACTAAACAAACCCAATTCTTTCAGCCTTCCTTCATAGGCCATGTTCTCTAGACCTTTAATCATTCTTGTCGCTCTTCTCTGTACCCTTTCCAATTTCTCCACATCTTTCTTGAAATGTGGATACTCCAACTGAGGCCTAATCAGCGCAGAGTAGAGTGGAAGAATGACTTCTCGTGTCTTACTCACAACAAACCTGTTAATGCATCCCAGAATCATGTTTGGTTTTTTTGCAACAGCATAAGTCTGCTGACTCATATTCAGCTTGTGGTCCACTATAAGTCCTAGATCCCTTTCCGCTGTACTCCTTCCTAGACAGTCGCTTCCCATCTGTATGTGTGAAACTGATTGTTCCTTCCTAAGTGGAGCACTTTGCATTTGTCCTTATTAAACTTCATCCTATTTACCTCAGAGCATTTCTCCAATTTTTCCAGATCATTTTAAATTATCCTATCCTCCAGAGCAGTCGCAATCCCTCCCAGCTTGGTATGATCTGCACACTTAATAAGCGTACTTTCAATGCCAATATCTAAATCGTTGATGAAGATATTGAACAGAGCTGGTCCCAAAACAGACCCTTGTGGAACCCCACTTGTTATACCTTTCCAGGAGGATTGAGAACCATTAATATCTTCTCTCTGAATACGGTTATCCAGCCAGTTATGCACCCACCTTATTGTAGTCCCATCTAAGTTGTATTTACCTAGTTTATTGATAAGAATATCATGCGAGACCGTATCAAACGGCTTACTAAAGTCTAGGTATACCACATCCACCGCTTCTCCCTTATCCACAAGACTCGTTATCCTATCAAAGAAAGCTATCAGATTGGTTTGACATTTGTTCTTTACAAATCCATGCTGGCTGTTCCCTATCACCTTGCCACCTCCCAAGTGTTTACAGATGATTTCCTTAATTACTTGCTCCATTATCTTCCCTGGCACAGAAGTTAAACTAACTGGTCTGTAGTTTC